ACTCATCTTTCAATCGATGTCTTTTTATATCATTAGGATCTTTTAAGACATCTCCTATCTTTAATTTTTTTTTTTTTGCAGTTTCAAGATCACATATTCTGACAAGATAAAGATCAATTTTGAAAGGTGATAATAATTTTGTTAAAATTAAATCATCTGCCACCCGATATGTAGCATTTGTGGTAGAAGGATGATAAGAAACTAGTTTAATGTATAAAGAAAAATCTAATAAATTCAAAGATTTAAAAGATTTAGGTTCTGTAATAAAGAGAAAGCCAAAAATCTTGATTCAATAGGAATTAATCCTTGTGCACCAAAATCAATTTTATCAACTAATGATCCGGGTGGTCTATTTTGACCACAAGCATTGTAAGCTGTATTATCACCACATGATCCTAACGAACATAGTTTTCTTTTTTTTGTTGCCATTATATTATCTGATATTTACATTTACAGGGAATATAATTTGGTTTAGAACCAACTTTAGAGACCGGTTTAGATCTTTTTTTTGATTGAACTTTTTCTTTTCGGTTCGATTTTGTTTTATTTGGTATTTTTTTCTCTTTCGGTTTAGTAGATTTCTTTCTTTTTGCCAGTTTGATTAAATGTTTTCGATTGTTTTTATTATTTCCTTTAAAATTTGACGAACCAATGTAATGATAGAATCAAAAAATAAATTATAATTTGGTTGATATATATGGTGTATAATTGATATTTCAATTATTATTGATAAAAATAAAAAAATGCTAACTAATAAAAATGTAATCTTCCATAAAAAAGAAGCTTCCATTAAAAAAAAAAAGAAAATGAATAATGAGACTATTTATACTATTTATGAAATTCTTCCTTTAGCTTTACTTTTTCTAGAATAATCATCATCATCACTATCTTCTTCTCGTTTTCTACGAGATCCAGCAATTGCATCTGGAATACCAGGCGGTAAATCTGTTCCCAGCACTACATTAATTTTAATCTATTCTGCAAATAACATTGCTAAGTATTCTTCTGTTTTACTTTTATATTGAAAATAATTATCATCTTCTATATTAGTTGAAATATAAACATTCCATCTATCATAAAATTTTTTTGCATCATTAGCTGTTTTAATCGCAACAAAACCAGCATGTATTTGTTGAAACATCTATCTAACAAGATTTAATTTTCTCACTATTATATCTTCTTCTTTTTTATATAGTTTAATCTCATTGATTACTAATATATTTTGAATATATTGATAAGTTATTTGTGGATTCGCGGAAACTCTTTCTACCATTTTTTTATAATATAATGCCATACGATACAATTGTATCATTTGTTGATAATTAGCTGGCAATACGTTCCAATCAAAAGGTTGGTTATTTTGTTGAAGAGAATGAATAGATAAATCCCAATATTTATCATCTCCAAATTTTTCAATATCATCATCATCTTCCATATCTTTAATCATTCGTATCCATAAATCATAAGTAAAATGTTGTTTTTCTTTAGCTAAATTATAATTTATAGGATTAACTGTTCCAGAAATAACATCTGTCATTTCTTCAACAGTATTTATTTCTGGAAATTTAACATCTTCCATTTCTTTAGTATCTTCAAATTCTTCTTTAATAGGTGTTATTTCTGGAGCATCTTCAAATTCCTCATTAACAGGTATTCTTGGAATTTTATTTTTTGATAAATCGGGAAATTTATCTGCTATAGAAGATATTACACTAAACAACATCATTTGATATAACTCCAAATCTGAAAATTTATTTTCTTTTATTACATCAGATTCATTGTAACAACAATCTTGATAAGGATTCCAATTGTATTTACATCTGCATATTTCTTTAGAATTAACAAAAGCTAAGAATAA